CTTGTTAATTTCCAACTGGACCTTCATTTACGCGAGCTGTCTGAGTGATACTCAGGTGAACTTTTGGGCACTAAATTACACAGTTGGCAGTCTGGGCTAGCCCCATACTGTTGTTGCTGGTGTTTCTCAGTATTACTTTGCAGTGTTCATTACTGCTCACCTACTGAAACTAGCCTAGCTTGCGACTGTTTTGGACAAGATGCAACTGGCAAGTGCGATAGTGTTCATAACTCTAAATGCTCAAGCAAAAATTATCGTTTCATATTCAGTTAGTTGCATTCATATCAGTACATTATAAGTAATCATTGATTAAACATGAATCCGTGTTCTTTCACAGAATGCTCACAACTTTAAATATCAAATTGATTGGTGTTTATGAAAAACATGCGTTTTAGCTAAACTTCATGCTGCTTTCTTGAACAGCTGACGAAACGCTATTGCATGCTTACTTGCCATGAATTGGATTGTGTTTGAAATACATTGCAATTCTTCACTGGACTGCCAGTAACACTTCACATTGGGGGAACACTTATTAACCATGCAATGATTACTTTCTGAGACCGGAAATAAAGAAGCGGCAGGCCGGGATACTTACTTGATATCGGCACTCGTTTTGCTACCCAGGGCACTATCATGCAAACTTCCTATAGAGTGGTTATGCGTCTTGCATGTGTGTTTGTAAACCAAAAATTTTGGGTAGAACTATATTTGTCTTACAAATGGTTGCAGGACTGTGGAGGCTGTAGGGCTGCTTAGGAGGCTGTAGGGCTGCATGAATGGTGGAATCCTTGGACATATATTCAACCATGCTGCATCAGCTGCTTGGTGCTTTCACGGCATCTTTACAGATGTGTTGGGTGAGTAAAGCAGGCAGGTTTTAACACAGGGAATATGGCAGCACCTCTTGTGCATGTCTTACATCCCAAGTATATAAAATATTTATCTTGCACCTTGTGGCCTGTAATTTTTAAAGAGACACCTTTTTTTGCTTTACATTTGAGTGTTGATGCTTCGACAGCAATGTGTTTGGGATTGACAGCAAGTGTTCTTGAACAGAAAACTGATCTCAATAATGCAAAACACCCTTCATACTTGGTCTTTAGCATAAGCTTGCACATATCTATAGCAGAGTCAATTGTTCATTTTTTGCTGTGATGATAATAGGCAAGTAGCAAAGGCATTTTCAGATTGGAGTGGTTCGTGACATCTGTTTAGGCTGTGCTATATTGCTTTGCAACCAGAGTTACGTGTGGCCACACATACAATAAAGCCATATTACGTGTATTCTAAATGTGATTACCATATCACATTTTGCTGCATCTTAATATGTGTCGAACAAATGCAGATATCTTTAGCTTGCCACTATAAAAGGCTCCTAAACCAACAAGGTTGAAATTTAGTCGTGGTGTGCAGATAAACATGGCTTATACAAGGGTGAATGAAGAATGCACTAAAGACATGACAGTGCCAACAGTCTAATGAATGTTGTATTGGAAAATCGTAACTTTTTCGTGGTTTGTTAATGCAGGAGTCTCGTTCACACTGGTGCTACCAGCTTCTGCTGGGGAATGTGACGGCCAGGTAAAGTACCTGAATTGTGGAATAAAGAATCATTTTTAGAATGCAATGGCTGTAAATATATATTTTTAATTACTTATTTGATATCATCACAGCTGGAGCACCTGTATACAGGGAGCTATTTTCGCTGTGTCCATCTACAGGAGTGTCTGTTAAGGGGGCCACTGATAGGATAGTGCTGAAAAGCAGCCTGTTCTGTTACTGTTTTTTGTTCTCTCATGTGATTTTCATGTTGCAATGCTTTCAAAACTCCCAGCACCAAATGGAAAGACTAAATGCTCTTCAAGGCCATGAACACAAGCTCCGTGATTATGCTTCTGGGTGCACTTTTTGAAGGCTGTGCATGAACTCTTGCTAAGGCCTTGCTAAGCCTCATATTTTTTTACATTGCCACTGCAGCTTCTGCATGCTGTTGTGCTTGTAATGTATTACGTTGTTTTGTACTAGCACGAACGGACAATCTGTCAGGCATATATAGCATGACTGATAACTTGACGAAAAATCTTTCATTGCGGAAAGTCATAATATGCCACTGGCTGGTTAGCGCAGGTGGCTCCTCCAAGAGGGCACCTTCTAGAAGCGTCCACTCTAGAAGGTGATGGCCAGGTAAAGCACCTAATTTGCAGACAAAATATGAGGATTTTGCATTCATATCATTTACTGTTTGTTATCAACTTTGGAACATTTCAGTGTGTGTTACTGTGTATGTTTACGCTGCATTTATTTTTGACAGTAGCTTAAGAATTTTCAAATAGGATAGCTGCAGAATTGCAAAAAAGTAATGGTACGAGGCTGCTTAGAGTGAAAGACAATTGAATCTAACAGCACATTTTCAAACATTTTTTTTGAAAAATCTCTGTAACAGAGAATATTTGCCTCATGAACCGTTCGCTGTGAATATTTCATGATTCGTCAAGAATGAATGGAGTTATCTGGTTTTGTCATGTGCTTCAAGCACTTTCTCTTCTATCGCTCGAGCCTGCTAAAAGCTACACAAATAATTAAGGAGGTAAGCGGGGAATATTTTGTCCGGATATGGCCACAACTTCGAGTGTGCATGGTAAAATGCCATTGCTTTCTCCCACTGTCTATAATGCACATGCGTATGGCTCACTGTGTAATGTTAGCAGACTAAGGATACCCAAGCATCACTTAGTGGCGCTGCAACTGGGTCAAGACAGACAGCGCATCTTGCAAAGGAAATGTGATCTGAGGATATATGATGTGCGTTTTCCTTTCGCTAGCTCTCTTCCACGCATATGCAGAGCTCTCGCACTGCACTTGTAGCGCCGCAGAGTGTGTCACTTGAAAAAAATCTCCCAGCTAAACAGGCGCTTTGAAATATGAATGTTATCAAAGCAGAAGAATTTATTGTTCACGTTTGGGATGCGGAGCCGACGCCAAGGCGTCCGCCTTAACACGAAAAACATTTTCGAAGTCTGAGACATTGCTGTATTAGGACAGTATGCGTTGAGGTAAGCTTCGTTTTGTCATATGGTAAAAGTACTTGATGATCTATATGCACTGCAAAATGATACCACACACTCGATCGATGTTCTACGTTATCAGGTATGCAAACTACGTAATTATTGTTTTGATGTTCATAGTAGCAGTAGCAGACACAAAAATTGTGAATGAACTTTCACAGTGTGCAAAAAAGGAAAGGAAGAAATGAAAATTGAAAAACAGAGTAAGGTTAGAGTTATGACCTCTCTACTGCTGGAGCATCGCGCACTGACTTGACCATGAGGCAGCTAGCTTAGTTTTAACAGCTGCAAAGTTGAACTGTCCCCCTTCCCCCGTTTTCAGCGTTGATCTTTCGGCGAACTTCAACTGCTCCCCCCCTTCCGTTTTCGGCGTTGATCCTTCAACAACATGCTGGCAGCCTCAAAGAGTGAGCACAGGCCTAGCTTGCTCTGTAAGAAAAGGTCTGCTTCGGAACTCTTTGCCATGTATAAATACAAGATTTAACTGAGTTGTTCATAGCAGTGTCTGCTATTTGCAGGTAATGTTCTCCTAGCCTGGGGGATGATTGATGACCCCTTCAACTATATATACTTCTGACTTGCAAATGCCTATATGTTGTTCCACATAGTTGGTTACCTGACAGCTCTGCCCCTACACAAACACTCATCCAATTGGTAACAATAATAGTAAATTGAAATATGGCAGAAGATTGAAATTGATTGTAAGGAGGTAAATTACATATTTTCAATGAGGTGACACTATCTACCTATCTAGCTACTGCCAGTCACAGATAAGTCTCCTTAGTCAAAAATCACAATTAATTTTCCTTCAGTTGCACATGCACGGTGTCTCATGGAGCTATAGTTGATACATACAGGTGACACAGATTTGTACTGCGAAAACTTCTTAATTAGAACAATTATTTTTGTATGTCTATGCTAATATACTGGGCAAAAGAGGAATGAAAAGTTTAGATTCCCCTTGCCACTCAATGTGCTAATGAAAGCTTACCTTGTGTATGGGTAATTCCCTAAAGAGATGCCGCTGCCTATCTTGTTTCGCCGTTATCATTGTAATTTGCCATTGTATGTGCCATTTAAAGGGACTCTAAAGAGACAAGCAATTTTTCTCTTATTGGTAAATTACTCTTTAACCATACCAAAATCTCCACGCGTGCCGAGAGTAGATGCTTATAGTTAAGGGATAAAAATGTGCAAAAGGAAAATGTGGGTGCCAAAGCCACCTGGAACTTCCCGCACAAGTTGCGGCGACATCATAGATGTTGACGGATAGAGTGGATTGTCTTCCTTGAAAGCTAGAGAGTTATTACACCAAGTCGCTTGGCCCCTGTGGCTAAATTGTTAAAAAACTGAAATATATGACATTGCCAATGAAGATTTAGGCAGGAAATTAAGAACAAATTTTTCCCATTGATTTTGTCATCTAATAATAAACATATGGTAGTGAAGTTCAAGGCAGTTGGTTTTTGAGAGCATAGTTTTTATTGTAAGTTAATTACTGTTTTGACATGTGTACCTGCATCATAGTTTATTTGGACATCCATTTGAGGAGATGTTATGTGGCACTTTTGGTCAACTGAAATTAATTGGCTGAATTTGCTGTGAGTCACAATCTGGCTTTTTTTTGTGGTGAATATATGACAGTTATTTTTGTCTTCAGGCTCGCATTAGGTACAACTAAAAAAATTGACATTTGTTGTGTTCCTTTGGAATGGCATGGGTGCCATACACAGCCATTGTTTTAAACTCCAGCTTGATTTGATGGACTGTCGCAATTTATTTTGACTTATCGCATATCAGCCTGTCATGTGTTTTTTTAGAGTTTCATGCTTGCTGTTAATGATAGCATAAGTATTTAGCCACAGCAGCTGCAGTACACTTGTTTTACTTTAGCTGCATGGGCAACTGGACACCTACCTTCAAAGTGGCATGTTTATTTGTACCGACCTCATTGATGGCAAAATAACACAGTATATTTTTTTGTGCAATGCCCGAGCTATGTCGTAAAATGCTACAAAATTCTTAAGGATGAAGAGCGATTTCATCATAGTCTACATGCTGTCGTGAAACACTCAAAGTACATCATGGTGGGTGGACAGTCTTTTGCTCAGCATCTTACTGGCAAAAAATATTTACCTGTAGCAGTAAAAATTAAGCCAGTCTCACATAAAGAGACATTTTGGCAGCAACACAGCAAAGCAAGTAGCGAGCTCCCCCAATAATTCCTAGCTGACATGCACAGTTCTGAGAATTTATAAAACAGTTTGCCATTCCCTGTCCTTTGTATTGTTGAAGACTTGGGTGAAGAAGAAATATTTGAAAGAGTAGTCCTGAATAGATTTGGCTTTGTATTACATTCTGGGTGAGGTGATGGGGAATTTTTCGTCACTGTAGTGGCATTTTTGTAGCAGTGTTTACATATATTGGAGTAATAGGAACTTCATTGTCATTCTGATTTTTCTTGTGCAGGTCAACCTTGGCTCAGGTATTTTCATGGGCCAAGATAAATGGAAGCGGCTGCTGTAGGAGAAAAAAGACTCCCTCTTTGTGCGAGAGACCGACAAGGCGTTGAGGGGCATCAAAGAGTTGTACAACCGTAGTATAACTGGTGTCCTATGCCTGTGGTTTATCAACAAGGAGGGAGGCCCTGCTGTTCCAGAAAAAGGAGCGCTATCTCCTGTAAAATTGCACGCACTGCGAAGTGAGTGGCATTTTATTTCTGACCTTTAGTTTTCAAAAAATCTCTAAGATTCAGCATACCATTGACCTCCCTTTTTTGTATTGGTAAAGTGGTTACACATAACATAATTATTCGACTATTCCTAGTTAGTCATTCGAACTGAATGTAGAGATCATGTACACGAAAACTCGAGTATTAAAAGAGAATTCAACACCAAATTTATACGTTAATGTAGCCATCTCCTGGCTTCTACCACTGGCACCAATCACATCATTAGTGCAACTTGTGAAATCGGTGAATGTGGGACAACTGCTGTGTCATTTACGGCATACCTGTTTGCAGTCTTATGTGAATTTAGCTGGGAATTGTTGCGCTTAAGCGTCATTCAAAGGTGGCGTTTTTTGAGCCATCATTTCCATCAGTTGTCAATGCAAACAAAGAGCGCTATCTAAGCCTGCACACGCAGAAACTATATCTGGTAAAGCAAATAATGCATGTTGACTGTGTTGCATTTCTGGCTTGTGCACTCCTATGCTTCACACAAGATAGGAGCCTCATAGTTCGTAGTTTGAAAATTGGCACATCTTGCTGCATGAATATGAAGTGTTGCTCATTTTCTCACAAATGGAACTTGCAGCATTTTGTGATCGTATAATCTGGCTGTGATAGGGTACTCATTTAACCGTTTTTTGTAGATATTGAAAGGTTTCTAAATCTTGTTTGTTTTGCAGGTACGTGGCATCTTGCCAATAAGGTCATTCATATTTTTAGTTTGGTATACATTACTTTCATTCTCACTTGATTATGCATATTCTGTGTATCTGAATTCAAAGGGACGATCTGTTGTGGTACAAATAGCATTAAATAAGATTGCAGCATTAACAGGAGGAAGTATGCTTGCACGTGCGCCCCCCAAAAAAGTAATTATATTTTTTTGGCTCTAGCTGCTTTAAAGTTACATGGCAATCTTGCCATAAAGGTGGTCTCTAATTTTTGTTTTAGTTTGGTAAACACGAATGCCACACTAACGTGGTTGTGGATCTTCTGTGTATTTTTTTATGTAAAATATGGTGCAGGCTTTGAGCTTATCTGCCTCAATTCATGTAGGCCCTTCACTTGTTATGTACGTGATGCTATCTCGTTTTTAGGGCTTTGTAGTCCAACCTAAGAAGAACTACTGCGTTGAGGAAAGTAATACCTGCCTTGTCATCTAAAAGCTTATCAATTAAGGAGTCCTCACTAAAGGCTTCAATAATGGTTCTTCAACATGAGGTTGTGCGAGCTACTTCTGTGCATGGACCATTCCTGGCCTTTATTGAGCACGTGATTGAATGCTGGCCTAAATGATGTTTTCCTGCACATGTGTGCAGTCACCTACCTGTGGAAAAACCTCCTTGTGATAACTGTGCAGTTGTTCTTATTTAATTATAAGCTATTTATGGCAAATAATCATTCTGTTCGGTCCTAATTGTCTTCTGTAAAAAAGCTTTAGTCTGACAACATTCATTCGCGATTTATTTCAGATGCGTTCGACCTGCACGTCGACGCACATCCGACTGCGGCAACGAAGGCGGAGCGCCAGAGATGCGTCAACATGCACCTCGCAGATATGCTTAAGGTGCTGAAACAATAAATTGCAGTCTGAAATGTATGTTCAGTCAACCTTCGTCATAAGCATATATTTACCATGTTCATGCATGGAATTGGAATATGATTGTGGGACCTGAGCTTGCACACATGGGCAGAACTTGTTATCATTGGGGCTTGTAGTAAAAAGTGTGTAATCAAGACAGAGCATGTTAAATGATATTGCCTATATATTGGTAATATAGAGTATATAGCAGGCACCATGCAAGTCAACATAAAAATGAACACTTTTTACCTAAGCCTGATGCAAAATTTCTGCAGAAATACAAATCAGCATTACAAAACACTCAATAGACATGATTTCATTCTTTATGAACATTATTAACTCTGAAGCTACACACGTACTCTGCAACCCAACATATAATAGTTTTACCAAGCTTTCTTAGCCTCACTGCATGCCTCCAAATACATATGTGTCTCCTTTCAGTGTTATATATGGTGATATATATGTTGATATATGGTATATATATGTCTACCATATATATATATATATATATATATATATATATACATATATATATAGGTCTGATTTTCAAACTGTCTTCTCATAAATTGGACTGCTTAACGCTATCATGGCTTCGAAATTTTCTTTCATTTCGTGAACAGCTCACATTTGCGAATGATTCTCATTCAGATATCGCAGAAGTCACTTCAGGAGCGCCGCAGGGTAGCGTCCTTGGTCCTCTACTCTTTTCAATCTTCATCAACGATCTGCCAATTAACATTTCAACCCGTATACGCCTGTTTGCCGACGACTGTGTCATTTATCGAACCATAACATCTCCCTCTGATCATCAGGCCCTTCAAGGTGACCTAGACCTCGTTTGCAGTTGGTGTAATAAGTGGTTAATGAGCTTGAACACTTCAAAATGTAAAATAATGTTGGTTTCCCGAAAAACCTCGATTTCCACTTTTTCATACAAAATTAAAAAATAGTGAACTATCTCGAACCACATCATACAAATATCTAGGGGTTATTATTGACTCCGAACTTTCACGGTCTTCCCACATAACTTCTATTTGTTCCAAGGCATCCAAAACACTAGGTTATTCACGTCGAAATCTCCATTGCTCCACATCGAGCGTCCGCAAAATAGCCTATTTAACATTCGTACGTCCACAGTTAGAATATGCCTCACCAGTTTGGTCACCTTATCAAAACTATTTAATACAGATGATCGAAGCTATTCAAAACAGAGCAGCCCGCTTCATCACTCAGAACTACCGTTGTCACAGCAGTGTATCTCAAATTAAACGCGAGATCGGTTTACAACCATTGGATATCCGCCGCAAGATAGCCCTCCTTGTGTTGTTTCACAAGTACATTAATAGCAGAAATCAATGCGCTTTCCCTCTACATACACCGGATCGCATGTCTGCACGCATGCGAAATCAGCGCAGCTTTAAGCGTATTTTTGGCAGAACACGCGCGTTCAACTTATCTGCTTTGCCACAGGCAATCTCACTGTGGAATGATCTTCCCGACGAGATAGTTTCAGTCACTAACAACAACGCGTTCCACGAGAAACTACTCTCTCACTACATCTAGCATCATTTCATAGACATTTGTATGGAGGTGCATATACTTGGTGACTATATTTTCATTGTTCTATTACTGTGATTAGTGTCGCTGTTATGTTGCATTTATTTGTATATTTGAACTGTATACGTTCTCAATTTTCTTTCTTTTTTTTCTGTAAGCCCCCCTTACCCTATGCTCTAACGAGAGCCTGTAGGGTATGTTAAATAAATAAATAAAAATATCTATGCATTTTTATATGCTGTGGAACTATGTATGCAATTGTGATGGTTCAATATTTGACAGAAAACTGAAATTCGTGGCTGTATCATATACGCATCCTATGGCAATCCTTATATCCGCATCATGCGGAAGCCTTATGCCCGCATCTTACGGCAATCCTTATCTCCGCATTATGCAGATAGCTTTATGTCCGCATCTTATATAGATCCATATCTGCGCATCTTAATGGATCTCTATTAGCTATGGTGACATGGCGATCCATATTCCAATAAGTCTGTGTCTGCGGACTCCATACATATGGAAATTTTCAATAGGGGTGCCACGAGCCTCTGCCGTCCTTTATACGTGGGGAGGAAACGGTAAGCTAGAGGAGGACGATCTGTGCCTACATGCGGGGGCCCCACCGCTGAGATACCTACCAGGACTTCAGCTGCTGCTTCTTTGGCTGCGCAGGCACCCACGTCTCCTGCGTACGCTGCGCAGACCCCCACGTCTTCTGCATACGCTGCACAGGTACCCATGTCTCCGGCATACTCTGCGCAGGCACCCAAGTCTCCTGCGTATGCTACGCAGGCACTTACGTCTCCTTCGGCTGCGCAGGCCACAGGTCGCGTGCTGCGACGCAGTCAGCCAAGTCTCTAGGAGCAGTCACACAGCAACTCTACCACCAAGAAAAAGGCTACCACCAGAGCGTTATGTCTGCAAGGTGTAGCAAGAAAAGTTGTGCTAATGCGAATGAAACGGACGTATCCAATGTGGCGGAATCTTTTTGTAACCTATGTGATTTTGTAGTACTAAAAAGGTACGCTCATTGTACAGGTAGTATTATGGTATATTGTTTTTTGCGTAAGTGCTAACATACTAATATACTAAATCCTTAATCCGTATAGGCATTTTTAAGGAAGGGAATGTGTTGTATATTGGTCTATTTGATTTCGGTTCCGCGATCACTGCCGCAGGTGGCGCCAGTGTTGTTTATGTACATAAACATGCGGAAGTCGGAATAAAGGGGCTTTTGTTCCGATGGGCACTCAAGTTGTCTAGTCGTTCATTCATCTGTACCACGCGCCGCCACTACAAGTGCGTTGAACTTCATTCAGTTTGATATCAGGCTGGTTATTCGTGCAATGTGTGCTTCACACCTCATCAAATGAAAAATTTGCGCTAGATTTTTAGCATACTGGTGCATAGCTTGTGTCTTGGACTGCGCAGAATTATTGTTGATTTGCTGCTCTCTATGGTAATGAATTTATCCAATATCAAAATATCTTACCTTTCGAACTTTGTCCGACCTGCCTTTCTTGTGTTTCCTATGCAGAAATTCTATGTAAGAATGGCAGTAACAGAAGGGTGATAGTTTCTACTTTCGAAGAAAAAATAATGGCAGTGGGGCAATTTTACACCAAACATCCCAATCATTTGGCAAACAACCCTAAATGTATTTGAAACAAAAATACTATGCTCATTGACTGAATTTAAAACAGTGAATTGCTAAAACATATCAGACGAAACAACGTTTTTGGCCACCTGGTGCCTTCTGAACTTTTTAAGAAGTCGTTTAGTTGTTGTTTATGAAAAAAAGTATTTTTAAACTACCACCTCGAAATAAATTTTTTGCCGAATTGGGTACAGATAATAAGTAAATGTACTTAAGTATAGTGCTTAAAACTAAGTAATAATAGCGCATTTTTTTGATACTGCGAACGAAAAAAGACAGTTCTCTTTATATGGCAAGTCATGTCGTTACAGCTTTTGTTTTAAGAAAGAAAACAATTTTGGAAATTGACTATTGATGGCTGTTTTCCAATTTAGTGTATGACGGCTTCCATCCCAAGGTTCCCTAAGACCGTCAATGGGAAATTTCAAAAGTTGTTCACTTGTTTGAAACAAAAACAATAATGATAGAGCTTGCCATAGAACAAGAAATGTTTATTTGATTTTGATTTACATATAAAAGTAAGTTTCAATTGGCCCACCACATGGTGCAAATCGCATGTCAATGTGGACGAAAATGTCTATATGGAAAATGCGTGATTTTCTTTCGGTTAAACTTTACCCACTTGAGGACCCAAGAATAATTTTTTCGCAAAACGTACCTTCTGTGGAGGAAGTTTTCATTCCTCAGATATTCATACAAAGTGCAGTCTTGCCTTAGGAAACATGCAAATATCTAACTATTTGGCCAAATCTCGGAAGGCTATGTGCCAGAAAATTACTCAGCTTGATTTTTCTTACACAAGCACCTTTAGTTGATATGTAAACCAAAATTGATATGACAAAAAAGTGATCCTTGTAAATTTTCGCACAAACAACACCCACAAGACCTTCTACGCAGTTCAGAAGGCACCTTTGTGACCTAATATTTTTTTCTCTGAACTATTTTAACAACTTACTGTTTTCAATGGAGTAAACTCGCACTATTTTTAACTATGAATAGTTGTGGTGGTTGCCGGACAAATAGGTTTTGATGTTTATTCTTGAATGGCCCAGTAGGGAAAACGACAAATGCCTGAATGCACTTTAACTTCTGGGCAATTTTGATAGAATTTTGTTGTTATCAGCAATTGAATGAAACCTTTGTATCTAAGCTTAGGCATAGAAACAAACCAGACACAATCAGTGTTGTCATGAAATTTGTGCAGTTTCACTGTTTCAAAGATTGTGCAGCCTAGTTTAGTGCGAGCTTCACCAATTCTTCGATTGAGATTTCACCAACAGATTTTGACCCCACAGTGACAATTCAGCTATATTACTCCAGTTACCTCGATAAAAGGTGGCAAGACGAGGCAATAATACCTTTGCAAAGGCATTGTAGATAACGATAGAGTATGGTTCTTTTTTTCTGTTATTTTTGTGGTTCTCTGCTTCAATGCTGTGCTTTTTTGCGGTATACTTCAATAGTGCAGTGAATATAGGCCCTAAGAATCAACAATAGTCTTGTTGAGCGCGATTGATTATAATCTTGGTAGCCTTTGTAAAAAATGTGACTTCAAACCTAATGTTTCTCTTCAAGATTTTATTTGCATTTTGCTATGAAAAAAGGTGATGTCCATGTGTGTTTTTTTATGGAGTAATTCAGTTTTACTGCACATTTTACATTTTTTTAAAGTAGTGTTTTGAAATATTGGTAATTTAAATGTTATGAGCACGCTGGGTGTACTGAGGCGCAAGCAGTAACGGATAGCACATACACTTAACTCTTCT